GACAGTACTATCATAGCAACAGTACAATCGTAGAAGTCGTGTGCCCCTGTGCAGGGGGGAGGGTGAAAGTTACTTCGCGTGGAAGGTCAAAACCTATGTAGAATAGTGTTTTTTCGACACATTTACCTTTATAATTAAAGAATAATTACGCTCACTTTCATCGCTCATTTGCGAGCTTACTGTTGAAATTACGAAAATTATGTATAGAACCTTTTTTATAGAGAATTTTGTGCTCTAAATTTTTAATTAGAAACATTTTCTCGTCAGATCAATATTTTTCAGAATAAACTCAAAAAACTAGAAAAAATCGTCGTTTTTTCAAAATTGCGGCTCCAATATAAGAGAGCGCCGATTTTTATTGTCATATTCGTAATCAGGAGGAAAAAACACGTCGAAATAGCCTTTTAAATTTTTTTTTTGCGATGTCGTAGCTTTTCCGAAGGTTTACCATATAATATATTATAACATATATTATTTTTATATTATAACATATATTATTAATAAACATATTTAATAAACATTTTATTTATACATACTAAGGCTGTGTTCCAAAATTGACTGTCAGTACTGAAAATCTATAGTTTACATAATGAACACTATAGGTTTTCAGCCTGGCAGTCAATTTTGGAACACATCCACTTATATATATTTCTTTAATAATAATTAATGTTATATTTATTATATACGCGAGCACCGCGTCCACTTCCACCGCGTTCACCGCGTCCTCCTCGATACCCTCTGGCATGCTTACTTTTTTCCCATCTTCTTGCTGTAATTAATACAAAAAATGATTAAATTTTTTATACAAATATATGGGATTAGATAAGTTAATTTTATCAAATATTTTTTAACGTTCAACAAAAAGCAAAGTTTCATTAAAATCGTTGATTGAGTTACACCTTCATAGGTTTATTTATAAGAAAAAAGTTAATTATAAACTCTTTTTATACTTACGTCTTGTTTGTGATGGGGCGCTGGGTGGCTGCATCGCCGCTAGTACGGGCGGCTGCGTCGCCGCTGGTAGTGTTGGTACAAGCGGCTGCATCGCCGCTGGTAGTGCTGGTACGGGCGGCTGCGTCGCCGCTAATAGTGCTGGTACGGGCGACTGCGTCGCCGCTGGTAGTGCTGGTACGGGCGGCTGCGTCGCCGTTAGTAGTGCTAATACTGCTGGTACGGGCGGCTGCGTCGCCGTTGGTAGTGCTGGTACTGCTGGTACGGGCGGCTGCGTCGCCGTTAGTAGTGCTAGTACTGCTGGTACGGGCGGCTCCGTCGCCGCTGGTACGGGCGGCTGCGTCGCCGCTGGTATGGGCGGTTGCGTCGCCAATGGTACGGGCTGCCCCGGATCCAGCCCTGAAGACTGAGGTATTACGGCATATTTTTGTAGCCGTAATACTTCAGCCTTCAGGGCTGCTATTTCTGCATCTTTTGCGTCTTCCGACGTTATTGATCTGAAACAAATATAAAAATAATGTCACAATTTTATTATTGTACTCTAATTTATAATAAATAGTTTATCATGGTAAGTCTACTTACAAAACGTCTTCTTCATCCGCCGACATTTTCAAGAGAATCTCATCGTCCGCCGACATTTTTAATTTTCTTCTTTTGTTTTTCACGGGAATCACGGGTAACACGGGTTATGAAACACGGTGGTAGTTCGCGCCTTTTGAATATGGCCTAGTTTACATGTGGCGTTTTTTCGTTATCCAACCAAAAGCAATCACGACTACGACTATCTTTGTCATCTGTAAGCCTATTCTGTATAACTCTTTAACGACAATTTTACTAGCTAGGGATGTCGTTGCGCAGATATTTTACATGGTATAAAACCTGCGCAACGACAATATAACGATACCGAATTGTCGTTACAAGTTATAGAATAGGCCCACTGATCTCTGAAGACGAAGATAACCTTAGCTGTGGTTGATTCTGATTGCATAACGAATAAACGCTTATGGTGTATTTGATACGGGTATTAACTAGTTACTTTCTATTAAATTATTTGATTTTTGATTTACCATATTTGTAAATTTAATGCATAATTCTTTAAATACATTGCTGAAATTAAAATAATTTAGTAGATCAATTTTTACGGTTTAAATTAATAAAGCTTAATAAATTTTATGCCTTTAAAGTTTCATTGTAGACGTCGCTTAAGGGCTGCTGCACATTTCTTCCGTAACAGTAACTTAATACGTAAACTTAAGCCAATGAGCCAATAAGGATTTTGCTTCGGTTACGTAATATAACGGTAATTGAACCTAAAAGTTATTATCCATAACCTCGCAATTACTCGTAATATAACGATTTTCAACCGGTTGAAATTTGCTATGTAAGTTTACTGTTATTTCCGTTTCCGTTAGATTAGATTACATAACCTATGCTTACGTAAAACAATATCCTGATTAGTCATTTTTTAAGTTTATGTCCTACGATTACTTATATGAAATTTTGTGTGACAGCCGTAAGGAAGCCCGTACACACCTTTTGTAATAGTAAATGTAAGACGTATCTTAAGAATCAGCTAACTAGAATTAAAAGTTTAAATAAATTCTCGACTGTGATTGGCTTATTCTAACTATACGTCTTAGGGTTACGTTTACGGCCTTACGTTTTTCTATGTGTCATGGGCTTAATGTCACAATTGAAAACAATCGACCATGATTGGTTTATTCATTTCTTACGGCACATCCGATGCCGACATACGACGTATTGTAAAACAGGCCTTATGGACACGACACCGATATACGACTGATTGTAGAATGGGCCTAAATCTATTCCAATGAATACCTAACACATGGGATGCCAAGGATGGAGATAAAGGCCGTGTTCCGATATGCACTGCTAGTACTGAAAATCTATAGTTCACGTTACGTATACTATAGATTTTCAGTACTGGCAATGCATATCGGAACACGCCTAAAATCTGATTAGTCATGGCAGCCGATCATAGGCCTTCTACATTAAACCATAATTCATAATTTAGAAGTATGAAGTTTATGACTTAAGCCTACGGCACACGGTGCTTGTTTTTTAGAATCTTGCCACCGTATTGGCTGCGGTGCTGAAAGTGCCAGTATCGCGGCCAATCCGATGGCAAGAATCTGAACGAGCTAGCAATCCAGCAGGAAAACAAGCACCGTGTGCCGCTGGTTTTATTGTAGAATCCATAATTAGTAGCAAAAATGGCTGACGAATAAGTGATTGGAGGATTTCATAAAGCCCATGGCACATACAAAAACGTAAGGCCGTAAAACGTAATCAGTAAGCGAATTGGCCAATCACAGTAGAGACCATAAGGCCGGTAGTGAATCCAATGCGTGGTCTACAATGGGCAGTAGCAGTAGTGGATTAAGGAGTAGGCATAGAAATCAACAAATCATAGTCGAATGTGACGAGGACAATTAAATATCATTGGTCGATTTCTATAAACCATATACATAAAGAATTTGATTGGTTCATTGACTCATGCATAAGAAAATGGACCAATGAAATTCCTTATGCACATGCTTTATGCGTTATGCAAAAGTATGTGTTTCTCGCCTTACGGCCTTACGTTTTTGTATGTGCCACGGGCTTAAAGGCCATCACACGTACAAAATTTTAGCAGTAATCGTAAGATCTTAAGCAATTTGGCCAATCACAGTTTAGCGTATTAAAATGTGAGATCGTAATCTTGATTGTAATTGGTCGATTTGCTTAAGACCTTACGATTACTACTAAAATTTTTGTACGTGTGATGGCCTTAAAGCTATATCCACACAACTTGCATAACCGCATAAATGTATGCATAAGGAAATTGATTGGTCCATAAGCAAATACATAAGACAATGAACCAATCAATTTCCTTATGCATTTGTTTATGCGGCTATGCAAATTTGTGTGGATATAGCTTTAGGGTGCCGTCCCATGGCACGGAAAACGGAATCGGAACACGGAATCGGAAAAGTGAAGTGGTAGGGGTAACCAATCAGCATCGTTCCGTTCCGATTTTAAGTAGCTTGGCTCCCCATGGGGCATATTTTTCGGAAACGGAAATTTTTCGTACTCTGTCGGTCGCTGGCGATCACTAGCAATTAGGTTAAGAAAAACCTGAAACCTACGGATGGAGGAAGAAGAAGAAGGTTTTGAGTACTGAAAAATTTAAGTAGAAAATGTCATGTGTAAGTATTGTAATTATATGTTTGCTAAGTTATTTTATATTAGATTATGGTGATGGCCTTACATACATTTTTAACCTAACATTATATGTACAATATCCCAAATATCCATAATATTCAATAATATTATTATGTTAATATTATTATTAAAATAACTGTAGAGTACTTTGCGACTTTATTATATTTTTCATTAGAAGTAATCGTACTGTTATCGCTTTCACCTTTTCCTTCAAAAATCATATAAAAAATATTTAATATATTATGGCTCAAGAATAATAAAACTAGTAATAATAATTAGCAAACATATAATTACAATACTTATACAGATGATATTCTCTACTTTTTCAGTACTCTTAACCTTCTTCTTCCTCCATCCGTAGGTTTCAAGTTATTATTCTTAACCTAATTTCTTGTGATCGCTAGCGATCGACAGAGTACGAAAAATTTCCGTTTCCGAAAATTATGCCCCATGGGGAGCCAGGCTACTTAAAATCGGAACGGAACGATGCTGATTGGTTGCCCCTACCAGTTCACTTTTCCGATTCCGTGTTCCGATTCCGTTTTCCGTGCTATGGGACGGCACCCTTAGGGTGCAGTCACATGGAGTCAGAAATAACGGAACGGAACAGTAACGGAACATTAATAGAAAAGAGATAGAACAATCCTATCTCTTTTCTATCAATGTTCCGTTCTCATTCCGTTCTGCTATTTCTTTCTCCATCGGGACGCACCCTTAGTGTCTTCAAAAGATGCCATTTTCAATAAATTTTCGGGTCTTTTTGCGATACTGACATAAGCCAGTCGCGCTACTTTTGCGTGCTTTCCACCATGCTTATAACGATGTTAGCGCTCTAACATGTTATATAGTTTACGTTACAGTGTCTGAAGTGAAAGCGCGCTTTTATCAATATAAAGACGAGCTGATACGAGCCGTAGTGTGATTTTTTGCAGATTGTTTATTGCGGAATTTGGAAAACATCGAGTTATTAATAAAAGGTATTCCAATACGTTTTTTCGTAAATGTTTTGATAATTTAATTATTATTATATAGTTTCTTAAAAAGAGAGTGATGGCAAAAATCGCCCGTTTTTTGGGTCTTCAATTTTGGAACTGAGCTATCAAATTTTACCTTATATTTAGACATGAATCATAGAGAAAAGTTTAAAAATGAGGTGACAACACTCCTCCAGCTATGATATAGCAATTACCTCCTCAACGTAAAGCTTCTTTTTAATATCCTTGTAGAATATCATCATTTGGCACACAGTTCAATCCTAAAATTGGGGGCTTACAAAAACGGGGGGAAAAAGATCTTTTGCTGTCATATAAAATATTAATTATTACTGTTACATTGAATAGGTGATCTGATTGCTGTATTAAGATTGGTGTCGAGATACTACAGTCTCCAAATTTTTATAACCTATTGTATAACGTTGTAAAAACGTGAGTATTAACAGTTATTGATATTAATTTTATAATTTAATTTAAGATTTTTGGTGGATCATTTAACATTAACATGTAAACACAAACAAACAAGCAATGATCTTAATGAAGTTGTTATTTATTTAATAATATATGACTTAAATCTATTGATATGTATCATTTATATAATAGATCAATTGTTGATGCATTTGTATAAAAGATTAGATATCGACAGAGTTGCCAATTCTTTTGTATAATTATATAGAGAATAGAAATTAATAGATATATTATAAAACTTATACGATATATATATATCAAAGAGATATTTTAATAATTTCAAGGTAATTCCACGAATCAGACGCGTGCTTGGTGATTAAAAAATGTGTGAATGAAATAAGGAGATATCAGGCCACCAAACACGTCAGACACAGTTAAATCGGAATAATTAAAAATTCACTTTCTACCTCATTGTGTACATAACTCTCTCTCTACCATATAAATAAAAATAATAACAGTTCTTTCCATTCCTGAAAATAAAATATACAAAGAATACAAAAAGATAAATAAAGCACAAAGAATCATTTCTTTAACAATTATATAAAGAATAGAGAGAACAAATTAATAGAGATTCTGAACATATCTGATATGATTGGAATCAGTATTGTATCAGATAATTTTAGAATCTCTATTAATTTGTCCTCTCTATTTTTTATATAATTATAAAAGAACTGCTTCTTTGTTTGTACTGAATTTTATTTTCAGACTTATTGAAAGAAAAGGCCTGACCAATCTGTCTGTATCTATATATATACCTTTTACTAAAATATCGTAAAAGTTATTTGTCATTGTCGTTAAAAGGCAATGTGTTCCAAAACCAAATAATTTTATATTTGGTGTAATCTTGATTTTCTTGTATGTAAAGGTATTGTAAAAAATAGAGAGAACAAATGTAATAGACCTGATAAATAATAAATTATTTCATGGGATAATGCTGAGTTGTAACAGAG